CCCATCTCCTCCTCAACATCCTCCCGCTCCACCCAAACAGCCTCTGGGCCTCTCATCATCGACGCCGCGCGTAACAAGATCACACGCGCCTGAGCCCGTTGCAAAGCCACACCCACAGCCGCTTTGAGCGAGGCGAAGAGTTAGCGGTTAGCAACCACGACTTCACGAAAAGTCGTCATTTCTTCGCGCAACACAGTTACGTGACTGGAACCCAACCGAAGTTCTCTCGAGTCTTCCGCGCAACGAGTGGCCAGGCGAGGCTGTTCAGTTCACCCCTGCCGTGCCCCTATTCCCCTGCAGTCATCGCTGCTCCCAAGGTTGCCTTGCGCACTTGGTTCTGTCTTGGCGTTCATAGCTGTTGTCAACGCGACTCCACTCCTCGGTTTCACCGATTCTCGGGATTGTTCAGGACTTGACTCGCAGAGTTTCCGTATGATCATGCGGTCCTCGCCTCGGTAGTTGCAGCTGCTGCCTGACATCCCAACCCATCCCATCAATGCCGAACTCCTCTTTCTTGAGCCGCGTCTGCGATCTACTGCGATGTCTCCATGTATCGCAGCCGCCCAGGCTGAGAGGGCTCTGAACCGTCGAGAAAGTCGCCAGCCGTGACGATTTCACCCCATTTTTTGCGAACTAGGTCCTCGACTCGAGTTACACAGGAATTGTAGCGAAGTTACACTCTTGGCTCCATTCGTATACAACTGACTGCGAAAGCGACACTGGATTCGATCCAAAACCTGCGGTGGAAAAGCCGAAATAGGACGGATCTTTTAGACTTCACAAAATCTAGTAGAGGTTAATAGCGGAAGCTAGGGGAGGTTGGTGTATCGCCGAGGCTAGAGGGGGTTGGTATCGCGGAGGTTAGAGGGAGCTGGTCAGGGACTCACAGGGGGATCAGAGGGCGACAGGAAAGCCTGGCGCCATGGACGACCGTACGAAGGGGTTGGTGCTGGCGGTGACGTCGAGCGTGTTCATCGGCGGCAGCTTCATCGTCAAAAAGAAGGCCCTCCGCATGTCCGCCGTCTCGGGTATCAGAGCCGGTGCGTGGGACGCACGCTGGTGGGGACCAGCGGTGGGTGGGACGGCCGGTGCGTGCCAGGTCCGCTGGGTGGGAGCAGCGGTGGGTGGGATGGGTGGTGGTTGATGGAGCTGGTGGGTGTGAGAGGCGCTGAGGGTTAGCGCATGTGGCTTGAAATGGAGGTCGTTGTCTTGTCTGAGGCCATACCGCCTGATGGCCAATGAATAGCTGACTTGATTGCTTGCGTAGTGGCTGTGTACAGCTTTTGAGGGCTTTTATGTGTGGATGGATGGATGGTGGATTCATGGATGGATGGTGCATGCATGAATGGATGGTGCGTGCATGAATGGATGGTGCATGCATGAATGGATGGTGCATGCATGAATGAATGGTGCATGCATGAATGGATGATGCATGCATGAATGGATGGTGCATGCATGAATGAATGGTGCATGCATGAATGGATGGCGCATGCATGAATGGATGGTGCATGCACAAATGGATGGTGCTTGCATGCCTGAATGGATGGTTCCTTCATGCATGAATGAAATGGTGCATACATGCATGAATGGATGGTGCCTGCATGGTCGGTGATGCATGCATGTGCAGGCATGGGAGGCCATTCATACCTCAAGGAGCCACTGTGGTGGGTCGGAATGATCTCCAGTGAGTTCCCTGCCTCCTCCTCTCACAACCCATCGTCGCTCTCCCCAATCCACCTCATCCTACCTCTCTTGCTCCCTGCTTCTCACCATCATCCATCACATACCCCTCGGATCCACCCCTCCCATGTTCCCCTCGCATGCACTTATCCACCCACCTCAACCCCCTCCTCACCCTCAATCCTCCCTCCCGTGACTTAGCCCCTCCCTCCATCCTGTTCCCTTTCACTTCAATACTCGCTCTCTGACTCTTCCACCTCCTTCTGGCTCCGTTTTCCCCCATGCGCTTTCACGGGACCATGCGACGGTTCATCCAAGTGGTAATGTGCCCATGACTACCCCATGCTCCCACGCCCCATACCCCTTTCCTCCTTTGCCCCTTTCCTCCTATGCCCCTTTCCTCCTATGCCCCTTTCCTCCTATGCCCCTTTCCTCCTATGCCTCTTTCCTCCTATGCCCCTTTGCTCCTATGCCCCTTTCCTCCAATGCCTCTTTCCTCCTATGCCCCTTTCCTCCTATGCCCCTTTCCTCCTATGCCCCTTTCCTCCTATCCACCAGTGGTGTTGGGAGAGTTTGCCAACTTTGCAGCGTATGCCTTTGCACCAGCCATCCTCGTCACACCACTCGGCGCTCTCAGCATAATAATCAGGTGCTCTCAGCATCATCATCAGGTGCTCTCAGCATCATCATCAGGTGCTCTCAGCATCATCATCAGGTGCTCTCAGCATCATCATCAGGTGCTCTCACCATCATCATCAGCTGTGCATGCCCCCTTCCAGTGTTTGGTAGACCTTTTTCGAAGGACACAAGAACTGCATGCAAGGATACCCACTTGCTCATTTCACTGCTTCTCACCTTTCCTTCAACATCCGCCTTCTCTCTGCCAACCTTTGCCTTCCTGTCCTTCTCTCCTTGGCCCTCAGTCGATTCTGTGTGCACCGCTCCTCTCTGCGTCCTGTCTCCCCCCTCCTTCCCTCGACTCTCCCTGTTCCGCCTCCCATCCTTCCCTTCCCCCCTACCCCACCACTCACATTTCCTTCCCCAGCGCCATACTAGCGCTCATACTGCTGGACGAGAAGCTGCACGTGCTGGGGTGATTTTTGAGGCGCCTCACCCGCTTTCCCTCCGCCCATTTCCCCCGTCCTCCCTCCACCACCACAACCTGCAGCGCCATACTAGCGCACATGCTGCTGGACGAGAAGTTGCACGTGCTGGGGTGGCTGGGAGCCACGCTGTGTGTGGTGGGGTCTATCTCCATTGTGCTGCACGCGCCTCAGGAGAAGGACATTGACAACGTCAAACAGCTCTGGGCGCTCGCCACCGAACCAGGTAGGAATTCTCGGCACTGAATCAGCAGCTCTCTGTGTGGCTGGGCTGGGAGAAACGCTGTGTGTGGTGGGGTCTATCTCCATTGTGCTGCACGCCCCCCAGGAAAAGGACATTGACAACGTCAAGCAGCTCTGGGCGCTCGCCACCGAGCCAGGTAGGGACGCTCGGCACTGCCGAACCAGGTGAGAATGCCCGGCAGTGAGAGAGGTGGGGCACTCGCCATGGCATTGCCTGCTGCCCAGTGACTACGCCAGTGCTTCCTCTGCTGTCTGCCTCGTGCGATTGCCTCCTCCCTCAGGACCACTGTCCATTGTGCTCTCTCCCGCCCATGCCCTCCTCCATGCCCTCCACCTTGCCGTCCCCCATGCCCTCCCCCATCCACTCCCCCACTACAGCGTTTGTGAGCTACTCAGTGACGGCGCTGGCGCTGAGTGTGTTTCTCATCTTTGTGTTGGCGCCACGCTACGGCGCCACCAACGTCCTCGTGTACCTCGCCATCTGCTCCCTGCTCGGCTCCATCTCCGTGAGTGCTCCATGCCCATTCCCTGTGCCTTGGCCCCCGTCCTTCCTCCCGAATCCCCCTCGTATACCTCGCCATCTGCTCGCTGCTCGGCTCCATTTCCATGCGTGCTCTCTTGACGCCCACAGGATGAACCGCGCGCGAGTGCACGTTGCACAATGCTCTGTGCCTAATGCCGAATGATGTCGCTTACTTCGCCATCTGGTCCCTGCTCTGTTCCATCTCCGTGCGTGTGTCCTTGACATGCTGTCATGCTCTTTGCTCTGTGCTTTGCGGCTCTGCGTTTCATCACAGAATAGGGCAGCATGGCAGCCTGCCCTCAATTGTCAAGCCATCACTCTTGTCAGCATCACATGCCATGTGTGCCGCCGCCACTGCTCTGCGTTCCTTCCTGTCTCCCTGCATGTGTCCCGCTGTGTGCTTGCACGTGTGCCGCCAGGTGGCGAGCTGCAAGGCCCTAGGGATTGCCGTGAAGCTGACGCTGTATGGAGACAACCAGCTCTTCTACCCTGAAACCGCCTTCTTTGCCATCGCCCTTGCTGCCTGTGCCGTCACACAAATTAATTACCTTAACAAGGTGTGTGTGCACGGTCTAGAATCAGAACTGAAAATGAAAAAGAAAAGGTAAGACGCCTTTACCGCTCTCAACCTTGTAAGATGCTTCAGGCCCTTGCTCATGATTCCCCTCTTCTCTTCCGCACTCCCTCTCCCTGCTCCCCTTCCCTCCCTCACAGTCCCTAGACACATTCAACACGGCAGTGGTAACACCCATATACTACGTCATGTTCACCACGCTCACCATAGTGGCGTCAGTCATAATGTACAAGGACTGGGCGGGGCAGACAGCAGAGCAGGTGCTCATGGAGCTGTGCGGATTCCTCACCATCCTCATCGGCACCTACCTGCTGCACGCCACCAAGGACTTTGCTGGGGACTCCTCCCGCCTGCACCTCTTCGATCCCGCTGCCCGTACGTGCTCTCCCTTCCCTCCCCTCCTCTGCCGCTTGCTCTCTCGTCCCCTCCTCTCCTGTGTCAAGCCGTACCACGAAGTTAGAGACTCAAGCCAGTGACTGCGGGAGTTGTTCCTGGTTTTGAATCTGTGTGCCATTGGTCTGTCTCCTAAACCTTAAACCCTGACCCCGGCCCACTCTGTGTTCCCTCCTGCTCTCAACGGGCCACGCCTTCCAAGAACTGCACGGTGCTGAAGGACCACCGCACACGCCTCCATGCAGCATGGATCTGGGTTCTACCACATGCCGCTCTTCCATTGCCATTCCTCACAGTTCTTTCATTACTGTCACACTTGTCATGCCATCCCTGCTGTGCCCCTGCACCTGCACCCCCTACAGGAGTCACGCCGGCCAAGAACCCAGCGGCACTCAAGGGGCACATAGGGCTGGGCACGATGCCTTCAGGGGGTTCCAAGGATGATAAAGACGTGCTTGACCCCGAGGCCAAACCACTGCTGTGAACTGCGCTTGGCTGCTCTTCATTCCCTGCATGACATGCGCTATTTGTTTCATGAACGTCTTGTTTTTTTCTAGTGGTGTATTGTGGTTGCTTTCAAAGTCGCACAAATGAAGCCCCCCCAACTAACTAGAACCAGTTGGTACATGTGCATAATCCAGTCCCATAATATTTCAATGGGGGGGGCCTGGGAATGTCGACGTTTGCACAATGGCTGAAATAAACTTCAGGCCAAGGTTTGTACTTCAGGAGGCGTATTGCAGACTCTTAACTTTACATGTGGTTGCATCAGTAATGCACAGACTGTAGCTGGATCCCAGAATGTGTACACTTGTACAATTGACTTTTTATCGCAACTTCTCTTTATCCACAACCTCGCCCGACCTCTAACCGAGGCTTCTGTTTCCCTCCAAAATTTTCAAATGTTCGCTCTGACGGAACTTGCCAGGGCCTTTGCCAGCCAATCCCCGCCTCGCTCTGGTGATCCGAACTGAGCCTCTCCTGTCGGTGAGGGACGATGGGATGGGATGGAAATTGGCGGAATTCTGCCGCCATGACGGTGGGAGTTCCCCTGGTTTCTTCTTTCAGTTTGGAGTCCATGGGGTTTCTTGAGAGCAGGATGAGACAGCTCCCTTGGTTTCTCCTCGGCTGCATCGACCTATGGTTCTCCTCGCCTCCATTTGTCGCTTCCATAGCTCCACTTGCACTATCTTTCAGGCCTGCCTTATCTCCGATCTGGCTCCATCAATGTCAGCTGCTGGTCGCGCTAGCCCCCTAGTTCACTCGCACGCCTGCACTAACTTGAAGTCGAGTCATATTATATTTGCCGCGACTTCGTCTTGAAATCGATAAACAATATATGAATGACAGTTTAGCCGAATATTGTGAGGACGTTGTCAAGTCGTGGCGGATTGGGATTCCAAGTTAAGAAGGTGTTACGTCAGTTACGATGGATCTGAACCCGCGGATATTACGTTAAGATGCTAGTCCAGGCGGCGTTCCAGTTGAGACGGATAGCAGGACAGCGTTTTGTAGAGTATAGCAGGACGGCGTTCCAGTTAATAAGGATAGCCGGACGGCGTTCCAGTTAATAAGGATAGCCGGACGGCGTTCCAGTTAATAAGGTTAGCAGGACGGCGTTTCAGTTTGAATGGATAGCAGGACGGTGTTCGAGTTAAGAAGGTTAGCAAGCAAGCCGTCAAGCGAGGTCACCTCGCCAAGGCATCTCCGCTGCTTCCAGCGTCGTAGCAACATTGCTGTGTTCCGCCGTGAATGGAGCGTCGCTGCTATTTCCATCATCAACGCCACGTAGCCGCTATTTCCGCCGATGAAGCAACGCTGTCGCTGCTGTACTCGCCGAAGCTTAGCTGCTTGTTCCGCCGTAAAAGCAACGTCTTAACTTCTTTAAGCGTCGAAGATTACCAGCACCGGCGCTGCTGTTTTCGTCGTCAAGGAAACGTTGCTGGTATTTCCGCCGTCACAGCGGCGTTGCTGCTGTTTCCGTCGCCAAAGCTAACTCGCTGCTATTTCCGCCGTCAGATTGAAGTTGCTGCGGCTTACGCTGTAAACACAACGTTACTGGCGTTTTCGCCGTCAGAGCAGCGTTGCTTATGTTTCCGTCGTCAACGCTAGGTCGCTGCTATTTCCGCGATATATCGACGTCGCTGCTGCTTCAGCTATCAAAACAACGTTACTGCCGTTTCCGCCGTCAAAGCGACGGAGTTGCTGTTTCCGCCGTCAAAGCGACGGAGTTGCTGTTTTCGCCGTCAAAGCGGGGGAGCTGCTGTTTCCGCCGTCAAAGCGACGGAGCTGCTGTTTCCGCCGTCGCACGAGGATTGCAGACGGGTCTTGACCAAGACAGAGACGCGGTGGTGGTCGCGACGAGAGCAACGACCGCAGCCGCAGCAACCGAGCGTTCAGTTCAGGAGCAGCACGCCTCGAGTGAAGGCACGGCGAGCGGTGGACGGAGCGTGGTACGTGCCCGGGGGTGCTTGCAGGGGGGCCGTGAAGTGAGTCGTAGGCGTCGCCGCGCAGAGGCAAGAGTCGTGTCCGTTGCTTTTGCCTCCGTCACTCGCCACCTGCTGCTTCTAACCCTCCCGTGTTGTTCCGCTTCTGTGTGCGTATCCTCCTCCCCGTGCGTGTGTGTGCCTCACGGCCTGCGAGGTGGACGGGAATGGCAGCGAGCGGATGGGGAATCGACGCGGCGGCCGTTGCTGGGTCGCGCGAGAGACAGCAAGGAGCAGCACGTCTGAAGTGGAGGCGTGGCGCAGCAGCGGCAGAGTGCCGGGCGGAGCGTGGTACGTGCACGGAGGGGTGCTTGCAGGGGGGCCGTGAAGTGAGTCGTAGGCGTCGCCGCGCAGAGGCAAGAGTCGTGTCCGTTGCTTGCTGCTCCACCACTCGCTTCCTGCTACTTCTAACCCTCCCTTGTTTCGCTGCTTCTGTTTGGCTCTCCCTCTCTCCGCATGCGTGTGTGTGCCTCGCGGCTTCCGAGGTGGAGGGGAATGACACAGCGTAGACGTGGAATGGCGCGGAGTGGACGCGGAGTGGACGCGGAATGGTGCGGGTTGGTCGCGGAATGGCACAGCGTAGACGCGGAATGGCACAGAGTGGACGCAGAATGGCGCGGATTGGTCGCGGAATGGCGCGGAGTGGACGCGGAATGGCGCGGAGTGGACGCGGAATGCTGCTTGGGGCGAGGCGTGGCGCAGCAGCAACCGAGGAAGCGGGAGCAACGAGCATGAGAGGCAACGACGCTGTGGCGGTGAAGGCGGGAGCAAACGACCGACCAGCCAAGCGTGACGCTTCAAGTGAAAGCGTCGTGCAGGAACGGCAGAGCGGCGAACGGGTCATCGTACGTGCCAGGGGATGCTTGCAGGGGGGAAGTATAGTGAGTCCTAGAGCGTCGCCGCGCAGAGGCAAGAGTCGTCTCACCTCCACCACTCGCCTCCTCTTGTGCTGTTCCTAAACCTTTCTTTGCGCTCCTTCTGTGTGCGTTTTCACTCTCCCCGTGCTTGTGTGTGCCTCCCTCCGAGGTGAATGGCACGGAGTGGCCAGGGACACCCGTTGCTTCCTTTGCTGGCTCGCGCGAGAGACAACCGCTCAGTGAGGAGAAGGGGCAGCAGCGGCTCATTGGCAAGTCAAAGGCAGAGACACTGTGGCGGTAAAGACGAGAGCAACGCCTGCAGCAGCAGCAGCAGCAACCGAGCAACGTGGCGCAGCACGCCTGAAGTGAAAGCTTGGCACAGGAGTCGGCGAGCGGGGGATGGAGTGTGGTACGTGCCAGGGCGTGCTTGTAGGGGGGGGAGTGAAGTGAGTCCTAGAGCGTCGCCGCGCAGAGGCAAGAGTCGTGTCTGTTGCCCTTGCCTCCACCACTCGCCTCTTGCTGTTACTAACCGTCCCTTGTTGCATCGCTTCTGTGTGGCTGTCTTTCTCCCCATGCGTGTGTGTGCCTCACGGCCTGCGAGACTGACGGCAATGGAACGGAGTGGACGGGGAACACGGGCTGCTGTTGCTGGCTCACATGGGACGGGAGACAACCGGGAGCAGCACACCTCAAGTGGAGGCGTGGCGCAGCAGCGGCAGGGCGACGAATGGATCACGTGCACGGAGGGGTGCTTGCAGGGGGGCCGTGAAGTGAGTCGTAGGCGTCGCTGCGCAGAGGCAAGAGTCGTCTCTCTTTGTTTTGCCTCCACCACCCTCCTCTAGCTGCTTCTAAGCCTCCCTTGTTGCATTGCTTCTGTGTGCGTGTCCCTCTCTTCGTGCGTGTGTGTGCCTCACGGTTGCAAGACGGACGGGAATGTCACGGAGTGGGAGAGGAATCGACGCGGCGGCCGTTGCTTGCTCGCGCGAGAGACAGCAAGGAGCAGCACGCCTGAAGTGGAGGCGTGGCGCAGCAGCGGCAGAGTTCCGGACGGAGCGTGGTACGTGCACGGAGGGGCCGTGAAGTGAGTCGTAGGCGTCGCCGCGCAGAGGCACGAGTCCTTGCCATTGCCTCCACCATTCGCCGCTTTTCCTACTGCTTCTCATTCTCCCTTGTTGCGCTGGTTCTGTCTGCGTGTGCCTCTCTCCCCTTGCGTGTGTGTGCTTCATGGCCTGTGAGGCGGAGGGGAATGGCGGGGATTGGACGGGGATGACAAGCTTGGGGGCTTCGTTTCTGCCCGAGACACAGCAGCAGCGCTGGTGAATGCAGCAGCGCTGGTGAGTGCAGCAGCGCTGGTGAGTGCAGCAGCGCTGGTGAGTGCAGCAGCGCTGGTGAGTGCAGCAGCGCTGGAGACTTGAAGCAGCAGTAGCAACAGCGCCTTGACTTTTCAGCCAAGTATATTCTCCTCCAAACGCTTTGCCTTTTGTGAAACCAAGCGCGTATCGCCTGTCGTGCATGTGCTTTCTCCTCTGAAATCTCGCCACTGGTTGGTTTTGGCCTGACTCACAAGCCACAATCCCTTGTTATTGCAGGAATCAGCAGCAGGCAACACGCAACCTGGAGCAGCACGCCTGACACCTGGAGCAGCACGCCTGACACGTGGAGCAGCACGCCTGACACCTGGAGCAGCACGCCTGACACCTGGAGCAGCACGCCTGACACCTGGAGCAGCACGCCTGACACCTGGAGCAGCACGCCTGTCACCTGGAGCAGCACGCCTGACACCTGGAGCAGCACGCCTGACACCTGGAGCAGCACGCCTGACACCTGGAGCAGCACGCCTGACACCTGGAGCAGCACGCCTGACACCTGGAGCAGCACGCCTGACACGTGGAGCAGCACGCCTGACACCTGGAGCACGGGCAGCAGCAGGTGCTTCTTGGGTCGAATGCGTCGCGCAGAAGTGGCAGGCTCTGCCAAGGAGGAGAAGTGGTACGTGCCAGGGGGTGCTTGCCGGGGGGCAGTGAAGTAGGGTGTCGCCGCGCAGAGGCAAGTCGTGTCTGTTGCCTTTGCCTCCACCACTCGCCTCCTCTCCTGCTGCTCCTAACCCTCCCTTGTTGTGCCGCTTCTGTGTGTGTCTCTCT